TTCGTCACGACTACAAACGGGTATATTTTAATGTTTTGTTGTCGAGCTATTTGATGATTCATGGTTTGAAATAAAAATATTCGAGCTTTAATCTTGCAAGTTATATAATTGCACTGAACATGTATCAAATGTTTCAGATCTAGAAGGAACAGTTGCCGTTTTTCTTTTTGAAAATAAATTATCTGTCATGTACATGCGTAGTGTTACACATATTTACCAATAGAAACTAGTGACATGTGTTCCAACACTGATATAACTACACGGGTTCAAAATGCAGAAGATTTACGTGTTATAAACCATAGAAAATTACTAGATTTCACTACTACATTATGGATTATGTTCACATAAAAAGATTCCTTAGTTTTATTTTAGTGGCATTTAAAAATGTATTTTGCAAAATTCGAATCATTGTACTATGCTATAAAACAATAATACTCATATTCCTTTAAAATGCCCTTGAGATTAACTTTTCTTAAGCAGAAATCATATCGTATACAATAAATATGTTGAAGACTTACTTGTTACTTACAGTCCGTATTTTATCTACTGAATAAATGTTGAAATACAAGCAGCAGTACTGTACACATAGATATATATATGTTTGAAAATTTTTCGTTCTTTTTCACTGTAAGTTTGTTATTATTTATTTGACGTATTTTTTTTTTGTAACAGCTGAAGAAAGCGAAACAGTGAAATTCAAGTACGTCAACAAGCTGCTGAAAGAGAGTTGGCAGGCAGAAAGAAACAACTGAAATTTTCTCTCTGAATAGAATTTTATTTAAGTGAAACTTGTTATTTTTATTCAAAGCAACTTGTTTTGATGATTTCTTGGGGAAGTACCAATCAAAAATCAATCATCGAAGTGCGTAGCTGATTTTCAAGTGAAATAGTTTCTAAAAAATCGGTTGCATCACTACAAGCGACCAAATTTTTAAAAAAACTCATTGTTTTAAAATTTCATTAGATTTTATCTAGTGAATTCGCCAGATTTCTACTGCACTATGGAAAACTGTTGTTTTCAATGTCGATAGTATATTTAGACTTATCATGATCAAAAACGGGCCGAGCTAACAAATAAAGTCTTTTTGGACACATAAAGTATAGAATTACAGATAATTGTTTAAGAAAAAGTCAAAATATATATTAGACATTTTTGTAGAGTACGGGATATGGATGGGTGTCGATTCCTGTGAAGCACGGTTATAGTCACGACCATATCGATTGAAAACAGCACACATACACATACGCGCCTGATCTATAATTTTTCTTTCCAGTATCAGAAAGTTTTTCTAAGATTGTACAATGAAGCACTGAATATGAATCTACACATTCAACTCTCGTTATCCCAATTTTATGCACATCATAACAAATTTGAGAAACAGTCAAAAGAAAATCATTCTCATTCATAGGTTGAGAAATCAGCATCTTCTATTGTTGCGATAGAAATACTTTTAAAAAACGACAATGATACATCTAATCGAGTAACGACCGTTAAAGTATCATTATCTACTCGAAAATCTAGTTGATGCACAATAAGCTCTTGAAGAGATGACACTTTATTGATTGTACTATTCAGATTTATTTTGACATAAGTGCAGCGTTTGACACACTTCCGAAAGCGATATCTAAAAGGAAAAACTATCTATTATATAAAGATGGTCAAAGAGTTCACATGAACATTGTCAACTGTATTTTTGTAAAGTGCGCATTTCATCACATAGATATTTTTCTTTCAGAAGGTTCTAGTTATCAAAATGTAGCTCATGTTTTGCTCTATTCATCTATATGGATGTTGGTATGAGTGGGTGCAAGGTGTGTTCTCACTTTCATACAAGACGCATATCCACACCCACACCCCTAACAATAGTGCCACAATTGACTCTTACTTTTAAGGTATAGTCTGTTGGATTAGTCATAAACCTAGATCTGGTCGGATGCAGGATTAACTTGACAAGCTCTCATACTGAGGATGACCAACGGTGGAAAAAATCGCATTGAAATACATAAGAGTCTCGAAATTTTGTTTCAAAACTGGTAAAATAGACAGAACTTGAACTACACGTGAAGTAAGAGAAAACTTTTTGAATAAAATCGTTAACACCTCACAGATTCAAATTGTATGAACACTTTCTACACGTTATACCAATTTGTTCCATGTAAACTGAAAGATATTTTATTTTATACTATGTACAAATCAATCCATAAAATTGTGATTATTTGACGTTGTCACAAGATGTTGATTTTTGAAGCATTTGTATAAACTAATATGTTTTGTTTTGTGAAACATGAAGAAGTTTAGCGTAGTTAAATAAATTCGAGTATGGTTTCATAGTTAAATACATTGTGTAGGTTTCCTTGATGTAGATTAAAGTGAAGCATTTTTCAGCTTCTCTCCAAACAATACTATTCTGATTAGTTATATCAAACAATATTCCAAAAATTGCAATACTATTTCTTTTACCATCTTTACTCCTTCTCAGAAAAAAGAGCTAATTTATTAGAAAAAATTTTGTTTGTAATAAGGAGTTTTCAATTTGACGTTAAATCATTTTTACAACATTTCATTTTTTCATTTGATGAAACACAATCAACAAGCTCATATTTCCAGTTTTCAGCAACATATTTATATCGTGATCAATTTCTTACATCACTTATTTCTTATTAAGATGTAATGATCCAAATAGTTCCATTTGAATTCAATGATAATGTTAAGAAGCTAATTCAAAATATTTATATTTACCGGATACACCAACATTTTGAAAACTTTCATCAGCAAATTCTATATCTTGTGAATGCATGATAATAATTCGTGATTCATTTGCAATAATATTTAATAACTCATCACATTCTTCTCATAAATAAAGATGTTCCATTAAAATCAATATTTTTTGTTCAACAACGAAACAACGTATTTGATCAACAAGTTGTTCTTACCTTTCACATGTACAAATCTCTATTTGTTGTTCATGTTTTGATGCATCATGTTTATCTGCAAGTGCAACTATTTCTATAAGTTTTGTCTTAATGAATTCCTTAAGATCTCATGAAATAATTTTATTTCGTTCACGAAGTTGAAGCAAACATTTTTCTATATAAATAAATTAGATAGTCTATTATGCAACAGTAATCCTATAAATAGAAACAAAAGTTTTCGTTCTATAATTGAATTTAAGAGTGTGGATGAATATTTTATTTACCCATACCCCTCTAAAAGAAACAAGAGCGAATATTTTTATTCAAAATATATTAATTGATCCAACACACAAACTATTTCTACATGGATTCTGTCTTTCGAATAATGAAATATATAAGTTTTATTTTAAAAATTTAGTCTCACGTGTATTATATTGTGATTAACAATAGAACTTTCTCTTTTTGTGAACTTCAGCTCATCATGATATTTAAGTAAGCAAGGATTTCTTTTTTTTTGTGGCAGAAAATGACATCCTGATCCCTAGTCGAGCCTGAAGCTTCTTTGAACAACAAGATTATTAGGGAGAGACTCAGTGATTTTTTTACAACTCATTGATTTTCAAAGTTTAGAAAAAGAGCTCCATCATTTCACTCACAGCTTTTACATCTAAAAAAACAGCAAGGATGAAGAGATAAAAATACATGTTTGATATCATTTCACATGACGATAGGTAAAGGAACGACAATTTTTTTATATTTTTTGATTGCTTTCATAGGAAAGCAAGACGCTAATAGAAAAAAATATTGTGAAATATTTACGCTTGATCAAGTCATCAAAGAACACGTGATTCGATACATGCAACATTATAAAGATAAGTCGTAAATAAAATAGATGAAACCAATACACAGGTAGATATTGAAAAACAAAATAAAAATCAGTAAGTTTAGTTTTTTAGAATTTTGTGTTAGTCAACAGATATTGTCATGATAATTGTTTGTCTTATTACGATTTTGATCATTATAAGCTCAATAGTATATCTCTATAAACCTATACGTAAAATTATTCAACAAAAAACGATTTATTCAACATGTTTCAAAACACCGAAATCTGATTGTATTCCTCTATTTGGTCATTTTTTTCTTGTTAGCTGATCAAGTTTCAAAACGGGGTAACTCTATCAAATAAATATTATAATTTGAATTAAATCTTTTTTGTAGAACATATAATCTTTTGGCTAATTGTATGGATACATTTAATGAACAATTAGACATTGGTCTAAAATATTTCCAGAAATTAGCTGATCAAAGCATAGAAACTGATTTATATCCATTGATTTCAGCTTGGACACTTGATGTCATTTGTGGTAAGACATACGATAATCAGAAGATTCTCTATGAATAATTATCATTATCATCGTTTAAATACAGAAACAGCAATGGGTAAAACAGTTCGAGCACAAACTGAAGAATCTGAATATGTAAAAGCTGTTGTACGGTATGATTTTATTTATATCATTGATGACTTACTTGTTTCATTTAAGAATTACTGAGATTATAGCTTTACGAATGCGTTCACCATGGTTATGGCCTCGGCCAATATTTAAACTTTCCGCTTTAGGTCGTGAACACGATCATGTTCTGAATATTATACATAAATTTACTCGACAAGTAAGACTACCAACGAATGAAATTAAATATTTATGTCATAAAGTGCAAGTTTTGTTGTTTTTGTCTTCAAGACTTCTAATATTGATTAGTGTACAATTTGCTTTCAAAATATTCCATTAAACTCCTTATTAGTTAATGCTTATAAGTTAGTTCCTATGAAATTATCTGTAGGTTTCGACTTCATTCAATACACTATTCAGTCACTATTATCCTCAGTCAATATTGTTTTACTCAAAAAAAAGGAAATATCACATTTGATAGATTATTTTACTAGTGAAATGAAATTTAGTTAATAAGAAAGTTTCATTTTAGTATTTACAGTTTTCATAAATTAGCAAATTTCTTTTTAGGTAATCGAAGATCGTATTGCTGACTTTTCTTCAATTCATCTTCAACATCGAATGGCATTTCTTGATACACTTATTGCAAATATGCATGATGAACAAATGTCAATTGATGACATACAAGAAGAAGTCGATACATTTATGTTTGAAGTAAGTTTTCATCTATATTTTTCAAGTATAATTTGAACAAATGTTCAGGGTCATGATACAACAGCAACTGGACTTAATTTTGCTTTATTTATGATTGCACTTCATCAGGATATTCAACAACGTTTATTTGAAGAGATGCAAAAGATATTTGGTAAATCTTTTCATTGACTTTTCCAATATATATATTTTATTTGATTTTCAGAAAATAATAATGAACGTCTATGTACTTTTGATGATGTTCAACAGATGGATTATCTTGAATGTGTTATCAAAGAAACATTAAGACTTTTACCATCCGTTCCTATAATTGGACGAGAAATTCAAGAAACTTTTCAATATAGTCTGATTTTTTTATCAAAATCTTTTTTCTTTCAATCACTTTCTCTTTAGACGGTAAAACGTTTGTGAAAGGCACAACAGCTATAATATTTATCTATGAAATCCATCGTGATCCACAACATTTTCCTGAACCAGATAAATTCGATCCTGATCGATTTTTACCCGAATTAGTTCAACAACGACATCCTTATGCATACATTCCGTTTTCTACTGGTTCACGAAATTGTATTGGTATGTTGAGAAATTCTATACATCCTATGTATATTAATTTTATTCTTGTTTTGAAAGGTCAACGTTTTGCTTTGCTCGAAGAAAAAGTATTCTTATCAACAATCATTCGTCGATTTTATCTAACAACAAGTCAAAGTTATAAAGATTTTGTACCAACTGAGCAAATAATTCTTCGTTCTGATAATGTACTTAAAGTGAAACTTACATCACGCACATAAATTTATATACACGAATCAATGCTTTAGTTATGGGGATTTATATATAGTATATGTAACATACTAGATGAGAAACTATTGATTACAAAATAAAAGACTTATATTCTTGAGAATGATGTACTAATTTAGTTTACAAAAATCATGATGCCATAGGATTTACAGAATTTGTATGGGTAATTAATGTATTGATTTAAAAAGAGAAATGCAAGAAGAAATGAGACTTATGAATATTAGCAGGCTATTTAGCTAATTGAAATGTGTATTGAGAGAGGAATCATGTGATCATTTGATATTTTAACAACGATGACCAATAAACCACTGTAATACAGTTTAGTATTCATCTGCAGTCTTTTATTTATATCGGTAGAAACTCAATTAAGTCTCAATATAGTAGATATAGACATGTAGACTTATATCTCAGTGTCTTCAACACACTTGGGCTCATTGGTTGCATGGCAGAATTCGAAAACTTAAGGCTCATTAGACTTAAGTTGTATGAGTGTCATGTAAGGCACTTTATTCACCGAATAGAACAAGATGAAAAAAAAAACAGATTTTTTATGTTCATCGAGACTATTCGACTCTGATTAGATCTCGAGATTCTTAACCGATGCGTCCAGGAAAAAGCAAAAGATAGTCAATTTGATCAACAAGTGTTTGATTATATAACTTAGGAGTGACTAATGAATATTAAACTTTTCTTACATCTACCCTTGGGGAATACTTACAGAAAATTTTTAAAATACTCCTTTTCCGTCAGACACGATGAAAACTGCGGACTACGGAAGATCTTCTTATTATAATGTGCAGCTATTTTATCATAATTAATCTGTTTTTGCTAGTAATAAACTTTTTCAATTCAATCAATGTGTGGGTGGGTGTAGATTTGTGTAATGAGGCACACATTCATCTCAAACTCACTCACCACTCCATGTTCATCCCTACTTACATTCCACTTTCTCTCTACAGTCGATGCTGCTGATTAAAATTCTATTGGATGCAAAAGAAACCAGTTCATTTTTTTAGTAAATGGCGCAGATAAATCATATATTTGTACTATAATATAGCTAAGTTACCAGCTCCAAACGTTTAAGATCCAATAACAGACCATATTGTTCATATTAAATAGGAACTTGCTTACTGACATTGTTTCGTTTCTATGGAGCAGATATATTAACTCAATATATCATCGTTAAATAACATCTTCTATCATAGACGATATACTAACAGAGGGACTAAACGACACTGTATAAAAAAGCATCTTTTATTGAGGTGTTTGGATCCGATTATTTGTTTCAAATAAACCCATACCTTTTTGGATGGCCGCAGAATTCTTTACAAGTGCGAAAT